TATTATGCCGCCGCCACTTTAAGTTAATATATATAGGTTATGCTAGTTACATGAAAGGACATATCTGCCCACATCATAACTGCTAACAAATAACAAACAATATAAAACTGAAACTAGAAATAACAGAATAGCAAAATAACCACAGCTGTGACTAGATACATTCTACCCTACGGACAGAGTGGGACCACAGCTATGGGGCCCACATCAATGTTCTCTACACAATCGATCCAATGCTTTAGATTTAGCAGATACAGGTCCAGGTATACCTTCTTCCACCACTGATGAACCTACTCTCATTGTTGATACTTCTCCTATTGCTGTTACTCCTGCACCTAATGTTACTAATGATCTTCCAATTGCCCTCCGCAAGGGGAAGAGGAAATGTACTATCTCTACTGCTCATTGTATTTCACATTACCTCTTGTATAATGCATATTCATCTTCATATCGTGCCTTGTTATCTTTTCTTGATTCTATATCTATACTCAGGAATGCTAGTGAGGCTCTCTCTAAACCTAAGTGAAAGGCAGCTATGTAGGAGGAAATAAAGGCATTAATTGATAATCAAACTTGGGAGATAGTTGATTTGACTGATGATAAGGAAATCATCAATTGTAGATGGGTCTATACCGTTAAATATAGGGATAATGGTAGCATAGAGAGGTACAAGGCAATAGGTTTTAAAGGGGCATATACAAACCTATGGAGTGGATTAGTTGAAGACCTTTGCCCTTGTGGAAAAGATGACATCAGTTTGGGTTCTTCTATCATTGGTTGCTGCCTACTCCTAGCCCCAATTTCAGTTTGATGTCAAGAATGCCTTCCTCAATGGAGAGTTGTAAGAGAAGGTGTATATGCATTTACCAACAAGATTCTATGGTAGTGTTGAAGAAAATAAGGTATGCAAACTAAGGAAGTCTTTATATGGCCTAAAATAGTCACCTAAATCATGGTTTGACAGATTCAGGGGAGCTTTAATCCATTTTGGGTATACGCACACAATTTGACCATACTATGTTTGTGAAGAGGGGGACTCTAGTAGCAATTTTGATAGCCTATATTGATGATGTTGTCTTCACAAGCAATGATCTAGAGGAGACAGATGTGCTCAAAAAGTCCTTGCAATAGGAGTTTCAAATCAAGGACTTGGGAGAAGTGAGGTACTTCCTGGGAATAAAGTTGCAAGATCCTGACATGGTATTTTCATCTCACAACAAAAGGATATTCTAGATCTTTTATAGGAACAGGGAAACTTGGGGTGAAACCTACCGATACACCCATTGATGAGAACCATAGAATCAGTGCATCAAATGGTGAATTGGTTAAGGATGTAGGGAGGTATGGGAGATTGGTGGGAAGATTGCTATATCTTTGTATGACACATCCAGATATCTCCTATGCAGTAAGCCTGATAAGTCGATGTATGCATACTCCACGGACTACCCATTGGGAAGCCATAGACAGGATCCTTGCTTAATGAAACATCCTAGCAAAGATGTGTTATTTGCTAAACATATGAAACTAGAATCATATACAAATGCAGATTAGGTAGGATGCTTAGATGACAAGAGATCCACACTAGGATTCTGAACTTTTTTTGGAGGGAATTTGGTTTCATGTTAAAGTAAGAAACAAACAATGGTGGCCAGATCTAGTGTAGAATCAGAGTATAGGTCCATCGTTCATGGTGTTTCAGAACTCCTCTGGCTCAGGTTTTTACTAAGTGAGATTAGAATTGATGCAAAACCTATGATGTTATATTGTGACAATCAAGCCCACTGGTTGCTCTTTTATTATTTCTTTAAGTTGTGGTCCCTTTGTTATAGTTGCCCCCTATTAAGGGCTAATTACTCATTGTTCACATTGTTAACATTAGTCAATTATAAATACAAAGAGAAGACGCAGCTAGAGAACTTTTTTGCCTCTCTTTTCATTGCTTTCTCACTTCTTCTCTTCACAGTTCATTCTTTTCTTGCTTTTACAGAATTTTATTTTCTTTCTTGAATTTCTACTGTTCATTCATGAAACACCAGATTGGAAGCAATATGTGCAGCAGCAAGGTTCCCACACAAGAAATACAACAACCTATAATACATTTTCTATCCATTGGGGACCCTACCCAATCTACATCTGAATATCCCTCTAGAGATATGTTTCCCCCTTTCATATACAATAACGGCCTAGAGGACCCTTTAAATACCTCAACACTCTCACAACACCATCCCAATGAGTAGTTGTGGGATTTTGCATAAACTGACTAAGCACCGAACACAAAATGAGATGTCAAGCCTAGTAATAGTGAGGTAGATCAGCTTGCCTACAAGTCTCCTTTACCTTGTTGGGTCTTCTAATGGCTTCCCATGACTGTCATTCATCGTCACATTTGGATCCATAGGAGTCTCCACTAGATTGGATCCCAACAATCCGGTATCCTATAACACATCCAAAACATATATTTTATGTGTGTGTGAGAGAGAGAGAGAGATTCCCCACTTTGACCGAGCAACCTCAATGCCCAAGAAATACTTCAACGTACCTAGGTCTTTGCTTTGAAAATGTTGCTCTAGGAATTCCTCTAATTCATTGATGCCATGTGCATCTCTACCAATAAGAACAATATCATCAACATAAACTGCCAAGATGATCTTCCAAGAGGAAGTATCCATGTTGAATACTGAGAGATCAACACTACACTATTTCAAACCAAAGTCTTGCACCACACTGCTGAATCTACCAAACCATGCTCGCTGGAACTGCTTCAATCCATAAATATCTTTCTCTACCTACATACCTTATCTAACTTCCCCAAAGCAACATACCCAGAAAGTTGCTCCATATACATTTCCTCCTGAACATCATCATGCAAGAAGGCATTCTTGACATCAAATTGAAACAAAGGCTGGCCAAAGTTGTTTTAAGTCTTAATGTTGTATGGGCTGGGTTGTTACTTCAATTCATATTTTTTGGACCTAATGGGCCTGAGTTACTCTTTTCTTTAATCTATTAATGTATACCCGCCTAATGAAGCGCAACCTTGTAATTTCCCATGTTTTTAAGTTACATTTAAATTCTATCTTGGGCTGGACAGAATTCATCTCCTGCCCCATTTTCTTATTCTTTTCTCTATTCTTCTCTCATTTTCTCTTCTTCTCTTCCTCAAAACACTTCATGGTATAAGAGCAATAGGAGTTTTTTCCTTAAGATTCAATTCTGTTTCCCTCTTCTCTTCTCTTTGGAATTCATTCTAATGAAACCCTAAGCAGCTCATGAGTCACCAAGGAGTCTACATTTGTTTGTAGGGTTTCTTCCTTGGAGAAGAGACCAAGGGAACCCTAAGCATCTTTTGTTAGCATAAGAAGAAAGAGAGTAGTCTATGGACTGCTAGAGAGACCTGAGTTCCAGGTCTAGTTGTTGTACAACAGGAGAGGCATTGGTTGATGCTGGACAGCAACGTTCTACTCCAGGAGATATTCTACTAGAAAAAGTTCTGTAATTCAGTTCACAAAGACGTAGGACATACAAAAACACCATTGAACATTCTGATCACAAATTTACAGATTCAAGTTCAAAATCTATTAACAGACAAAAGTATCATCGCATCTGCAAAACAAATCAAAGAATGAGATGGTTTTTCTTCTTATTTTGGTAGGAAGATTGACATACCTTGATTAGGAAATGTGTCCACAATTCTGACAACCTCGTCTCTAGATATTCCATCCTTTTCATACATTCTATATACAATATTTACAATGTCTTCACGATTTGGCTGCCTGATTCACAAAAAATGTTCCAGATAAGGGAAACAAATTTCATTGTACAAATGGAGACACATGCACACAAGTTGTCTATTATTATCAATAAATCATTTCATTATGACATTAACAACCTAATTGAACTACTCATGTTGACTATTTCTCCAAGAATAATGTATTATTATGGATAGAAATCATTGATAACCAGATGTATGAAGGTTTCAATATTGATCCACCATGATTTCTTTTCTCATTTCTACTAGAAATCATATTATGGGGGAACATGACAAGCAGTGCACAAATAATCATTAATTATTAAGACGTGAAAATGAAAATTGAACTATGAAAATGTTCTAATGACATTCAATGAACTGATTTTGAACAGACTAAAGGTTCTTCTTTATCATTTTTTTTCCTACCTCTATTGAACTCAACATCTAAGTCTCAAATTTTCAATATGCATTTCAATTTTTTATGACAAATCAAATAACAGAACAACATATTCCTCCCTATTACAAAAGAATCAATTAAAATTTAAATATATCACAAGAAGAAATATTTGATTTGTTTCACTAGTACTAATTTGTTACATTTTATAATTTAATACTTTTGAGGTAGATCTCTTCTTTGGGACATTTTATTTTTTTGGTTTGTTGAAACGTATCTATTTGTGATCAATGGAAGCTTTTGAAGGTGATCACAAGTCAAGGGGAGAGCTTGGTGTGACTACAGGAAGAGTGGGAGAGATTCCATGTACCCAGACTACCACTATATAAAGGTAGGTAGAACCAATTATATAGAACAGGCAAAATCAGCATGCATGGCTATTGGTGCGAGAGGCAAATTCAGGTACATAATAAAGATCATTAAGGAGCCAAACCCTTTAAGTACCTCCTATGGCAATCTCCAAGGTAGCTCCAAATGTTATATTCAAATAACCGTTGTACTACCACAAATTTTTTAGCCTTAGTTCAATAAAATAAGAAAAGATATGCATATTGAATTAATTCAGTAACACCCATGTACCAATAAAACTTTTCCATCCTTCCATCACGAATCAGAGGAGCATAAATTGTTGAAAAATCATTTCCTGTAAAAATAATAGGAATTCTATGTGTAACATCTGATTCTCTCCAGCCTTGTCCAATACTAACTCGTGTAGGATTATCAGATAAATTCATCAGAGTTCCTACAACGATTTGATTGTTGACTGTCATTTGAGTGTTTCCTACATAGAACAGACAAAATATCATAAGAAACGTATATACAGAAGGAACATGGCTATCATTTTTTAGTGCTTCCAAGATGGAAAGAAATGAAACAAAAAATAAGCCCCCCCCCCTATAAAACAACTGGTAAGTCAGCATCAAAAGATTCAATAGCATACATTTTTTGATAGTTTCTATGGGGTTGGCATCAATTTCCCAATCCAAATCAAAATAGAACTTACCAAATCTGCCTAGACCAGCATCAATATCATTGATCATTAAACAACTCATTTTTCCCTGCATTGGTTAAAGGAGTATCAAACCAAACTGCACTGAAATCTACCAGTATTTAATCCTTTTTATTTCATTAACAAATCCATTAGAAATATCTTGTACTCCTTTAGTGCATCTGGTCACAATGCAGCAGGAAAACATGGAATTGTAAACAACACAGATCAAGTCTGGTCAGAAAGTCAGTATGAACATAGTAGCAAGTATGGTTAAGGCAGCTAGGTGAGGCAATAAGCATTTTGTCTTGGAAAGGTGAGATGATGCCTTAGTAACGAGTCATCACCTTAGGATCAAAAAAGAGTAAAGGAATACATGCATATTTCTGAGTTCTGATTATATTCATATCACTAGACATAAGTATCACATAATGGGGGATGCTACTGTAACCAGCTCCCTTCTGACTATAATCACATATCCATACAGAAGTATCACATAATGGTTAATGAGGGTGATGCTTTAACCTGGATCAATAAAACTTTACTATCTCTACTAGGAAGTAATGATTTTTTTTTGATAAATTCCCATATATCTCAAGCCTGACACCTCCTAACTATATTCATGTAATACATAAGTAACACATAATGGTGAATGAAGGTGATGATTTAACCTAAATCAAATTATCTTTGGTACTTCCACCGGGAACTAATGAAGCTTTTTCATAAGTTCCCATATGTATCCAGCCTGGTACCTCTGTTTCTCATGAAATCAGACCAATTCTTGCAATAGGAGTTTCTCAACCACAAAATTCACACCAGATCATGAAATCAATTGATGAGTATCAAAGTTCTATTATTCTTATTGTGTTAATGATCATCATTAATAGCACATAAAAGAAAAATTGATTCCAAACACAAATTACCTGTTCATATCAGCCAATTCAACTAATAAATATTCAGTGAATCAACACCAGAGAGGATATCCATGTGTGTCTTGAATAGTCATCAATAAACCATTTGTAACCACCATCAACAATAATTAAAGTAAGGCCTCACACATCAAATTGGATAATATGGATTGGCGAAATGTTCATTAATATCATAATTTTCCAAATATCTTAGCAAAATTAGTGAAATATCTCCACATTTGTCCAACCTACATGGTGAAGTGTTCATCAACATCAAAATTATGAACCATGGTAGTGATCGACTATTTGGAACAGTCCTCCTTGGAGGGTTCAAATAGTCAACTCCTTAGGTTTCCAAACTTAAGAGAAAACTTGATTTTTGTGATTTTTCACTTAGCTAAGATATGGGAAAAACCTAAGGCCCTTCTTAAGCTAACCATTAGTCTCTAAGGTCAAGTTGTGAACCAAGGTGGGTCTGAGAAAAGCCCTTTTAGTGCACATGCAATCTGATTACATTTCAAGGATCATGAACTTGACTTCTTTTTTCTTAATGGAGGATTCTTTCCTTTTCTTAGTAAGAAGCCCAAGCACACAAAAGATATCTATTGGGAGCTGCATCCAAAGCTTTTACCTACTAAATTTAGGAACAATAATAATGGCAGACAGAGTGAGAGTGGGAAAGGTGGTAATGCTAATGTCACCACTTCCTCTAGGAGTCAAAAGGATCCTTATGATTGTAATCTTTGGAGCTGTACTCAAAGTAGCAAAGAAGAGAAGAAAACCTCTGAACTGCTGTGAATGTCAAACTGAATAGCTCAGTCGATAGTACTGTTATTTATATTATAATGTAGTACAATGATACAAGAAGTTACTGGAATGCCCCAGATTAGTGATGGGACACCCAGACAACTTAAAACATTAAACAGGATTAGGCCCATTAACATAGGCCCAGTACAGGATAACTTAAACTTAAGTATAGGCTAATACGAACTCTTATCAGCCGAATACTCATATATACAAAGACTTCAATCCAACACTCCCCCTCAAGCTAAGCATGGATATCAATCAGGTTTAGCTTGCCAAGTATGTCCCTAAACTTTGCTGCTGCCAACCCTTTAGTCAATACATCTGCAATTTACATCTCAGATGGAGTATAAGGCACACAGAATTCACCCGAGACAATTCTTTCTCTAACAAAGTGCCGATCAATCTCAATATGTTTTGTCCTGTCRTGYTGCACRGGATTGTTGGCAATGTTGATGGCAGCTTTATTGTCACAATACAGCCTTAGAGGACCTTCAGCCTTAATGCCAAGCTCATTAAGAAGAGTTCTGAGCCATAAGAGTTTAGCAACCCCGTGGGCCATAGCTCGATATTCTGCTTCTGCACTTGATCTAGCCACTACATTCTGCTTTTTACTGCGCCATGTGACCAAGTTTCCTCCCACAAATGTACAGTAACCCGAGGTTGACTTTCTGTCTCCAACAGACCAAGCCTAATCTGCATCAGTGTAGGCTTCAATTTCAAGTCTATTGTTTCTTCTGAATAGAATTCCCTTCCCTGGGCAAGTCTTCAAGTACCGGAGAATTCTTTCAACTGCTCTCATGTGAGGGATCTTTGGCGAGTGCATGAATTGACTAACAACATGCACTGCATAGGCAATATCTAGCCGAGTGAGGGACAAGTATATCGGCTTTCCTACCAATTTTTGGTATCTTTCTCTATCACAGTAGTCCTCACCCATTGATTCTTGTAGACCATGGTTCTGTTCTATTGGAGTGTCTGCTGGCCTGCATCCCATCATGCCTGTTTCCTCAAGGAGATCTAGCACATATTTCCTCTAACAAATGTAGATCCCTTCTCTTGATCTAGCAACTTCAATCCCAAGAAAATATCTCAGATTCCCCAAGTCTTTGATCTCAAATTCTGAAGCTAGGAACTCCTTCAGTCTCTTTATCTCTCCCAAGTCATTCCCGGTAATCACTATATCATCCACATAAACAATGAGTGTCGTAAGCTTGTTATCCTGTCTCCTTGTAAACAAGGTATGATCTGCACCACTCTGAGTGTACCCCACTTTCTTCATGGCCATACAAAGCCTCTCGAACCATGCCCGGGGAGACTGCTTCAAACCATATAATGCTTTCCTTAGTTTACACACCTTCTTGCCAGCATCATAGCCTGGTGGAGGATCCATGAACACCTCTTCATGAAGATCACCATTTAGGAAGGCATTCTTCACATCCAGCTGATGAAGTTCCCATGAGAAATTTGCTACTAGTGACAATAGAACCCGGATTGTGTTGAGCTTTAAATCCGGGGCAAAGGTTTCTTTGTAGTCAATTCCTTCCTTTTGAGTAAATCCCTTTGCCACAAGTCTGGCCTTGTACCTCTCGATTGACCCATCCTCCCTGTGCTTTACTGTAAATACCCACTTGCACSCAACAGTGCCCTTCCCCTCTGGCAGGTCCACTAATTCCCAAGTTCTTGCTTTCATTAGGGCTTTCATCTCTTCATTCATAGCTTCTTTCCACCTTGGATCAGATGCTACCTCTGAGTACCTAGAAGGAACACGTATAGAGGAAAGAGCAGACACAAAGGACTGAAAAGCAAGAGATAAATGTGAGTAAGAAACAAAATCAACTATGGAATGCCAGGTGGTACAAGAACGGACAGGCTTACGAAGAGCAATAGGAAGATCCAAATCCGAAATATGTGGGTCAGAATTACCTTGAATTGCAGGGACAGATTGATCTGAGTCCAACTGGTTGCAGTCATGAGGCTGAGAGCTCTTTTTCCTTCTATTGTATGTAAGTATCTCCTTCTGTTGCCTACTGGAATCTTCAGGAGCATCTGCTGCATCAGGAGAAGTAACTGGCACATTTGGAGCCATACTAGGTTGACCCGGAATGTCACAGCTAGGAGTAGTGGGTGATGATGATAGGGGAATAAAAAAGGAGGGAGAATGAGAGGGAGAATGAGAATCCTCTTCCAATCCACTAGTCTCCCCCTGAAGAGGATTTTGAGAATACTGGAAATAGGGTTGAGACTCAAAAAAGACTACATCTCTGGTGACACTTTTTCTTGGAGACAGGATCATAACACTTGTACCCCTTTTGTGTAGGAGAGTACCCCAAAAATATCCCCTTTCTAGCCTTGGGATCCAGCTTGGTTTGCTTTGGATCCTTCACATGTATGAAACATATACAACCAAAAGCCCGTGGGGGAAGAGGGAATTCTGGAAGAGTGGGACACAAAACAGAGAAGGGGGTCTTCATACCCAATACCTTAGATGGCATCCGATTTATCAGGTATGATGCAGTAAGTATAGCTTGAGACCAGTATTGCTTGGGCACTTTGTGCTGAAATAGTAGGGCTCGAGCTGTCTCCAATAGATGTCTGTTCTTGCGCTCAACCACTCCATTTTGCTGAGGGGTATAAGCGCAGGATGATTGGTGTAACATGCCAGCATCTTCCATGAATGAGTTCAGGGATTTTTCAAAGTATTCAGCAGTATTGTCTAACTGGAATTGTTTAATCTTCTTATCAAATTATGTTTCAATCATCTTACAAAAGGCCATAGTTATCCGTGGCACTTCATCTCGTCCTTTCAACAGATAAATCCATGTGCATCTGGAATAGTGGTCAATAAAACTGATAAAGTAACGGAAGCCATCAATGGAAACAATGGGTGAAGGTCCCCAAACATCAGAATGAACCAAATCAAAAGGAACTCAAATTTCATTACTAGAAGTTGGATATGCTGTTCTACATTGTTTTGACATTTGACACACATCACAAATTAAACTCTGACTTGAAATGCCCTTCAACAATTCGGGAAACAACATTGCTAATGAAGAAAAAGACGCATGATCTAGCCTAGCATGCCATAGGTGCAACCTACCTATTGACTCTACACTTTCCGGATTAGTAACAGCAAAAGCTTGTAGGGCTGAGCCGATGTCTGCATCAAAGTAGTCGAGGCCTCCATACTCATGACCACTCCCAATCGTTCTCCTCGTCAATCTGTCCTGGAAGACACAATGAGTAGGGAAAAAGTTATACTACAGTTCAAATTTTTTGTAAGTTTTGAAATAGACAAAAGATTTGAGGTAAGACTAGGAACATGTAGGACTGATTTAAGAGAGAGGTCCTTGCTTAA